TCTTTTCGGCGGTTTTAATATAATCCTCCCGTTTCGAATAACCCGCCAATGGAATCATCTTTATTTACAATATTAATAATTACTTATATATATATATATATATATTTCAGACTTTCTAATTACATATATATTAAAATTGGGAAACTATTTTCGATTACTTGTCTTTTGGAATGAATCCTGTGCTTAGCCCCCCACATAATCGGCAACGACAACAACACATGCAACGCAAACCCTTTCGGCGACGGAGTAGCAAACGGAGACGCTTGTTCTAACCGCTCCATAGATGTGTTGCCTCCCTACAGAGCTAATCATTAAATTGATAAATCTTATCCTTTATATTCAAGATAAATACATCGTCGTGAATTAATGATGCGGGGGGAAAAAGAACCTACGAAAGTGAACTCAGAAGTTTAAATGTTCATATACTCACTTGTCGGACAACTGCAGAAGAGACATGGACAAAGGTAAAATCAACATATGGTATGTCACCGCAGTAGATTTTTCTCAAGCATATCGCGAATCTGTAAACGTTGCATCTTCTGTTGTAGTGTTTGCCATTTAAAACTTAAACACAATGAATTATTATAGTATTTGTTTAAGTCATCTGAGAGAGGAGAAAGAGAGAGAGATTAGTGTATATGCATTAGGATCGATGTATCCAAGAGTACCAGTTTAAACAGTCATGTTCCTTTGGATTCTAAGCTTCCATCCGAACAATCCCAAAATCATCTATCTTCCTCGTGTGTAAAAGCATATTCTCCATTTTCACATCATGATGAACGGTCTTCTTCTAATGCAGATAGCGTAGCCTGCAATAAATGCGCGGTCAAACTAACGGTTTTTTCAAATAGACACAATGGAAAGATTTTATTCGAAATTAATCTCGGGAGAGATCCACAAACACAACATGCTCGAGAAGACAACGATTGTTCATCAAACGACACCGACAAACTTTTGATATAAAAGGGTTTTCAAGAGATTTTAAACTTCCGCAGAAAACGGGTCTTCAATGGTAAGATCATTTGAAAAACAAAACAAAAGGGGCATGTAATGAAAAAATTTAGAACGCCTTTTTCCAGTAGTAACCGTTTTCATTAGGGGATTAGTGGAGAATACGGTGGCTAAAGGATTATCCAAACTTTTGATGGGCAAAACGAAAAAGTAATAGAGGTATTGCAACAGACCAAACAGGAAGTTATCGAGGTTTTTGTTGGGGAAAAACTCGTTGACACATATCTTCTCTTCTCTTTCAAAGCAAAACGGGAGAAGCCTGACAGATTTCTGTGTTGAAGCTTCGCCACTCGTTCCTGAACTCATTTTCGCCTTGGCCCGACGTTCTCGATAGCCCCTTGACCGCAACTCTCTAACAACTTTGCCACTCAAATCACACAGGTACAAACACATTTATACACTATCAAATCCTTATACATCCGGATACATATTTAAAAAAAAAAAACAGGATTATACATAAGAACATGACAATTAAAAAAATGATTAGGGAACGAAAAATAAGGAGATGACTTTTCCAACCACTTTTTGTTTTAGCTTTAAGGTTAGTTTCGCTCATCGTCGTTTCAATGCCAATTGTTTATTAAATGGATTCAAAACATAACGCCAAATGCAAAATCAAATAACTATGTTAAAAAAACTCATTAAAATGTTTATTAATATCAGCATTAACCATTAAACTTTTCAATATACCATTAGCATAGGTGGATAATAAATACTCTTATCACCGTTTTTGTTTACAGTAGTGGGACAATTAATATTCTTGACCACATTTTGGTATATATTTTTTTACAAACACACATAATAATATATTTATAAGCCAATTACAATATTAATAAGGTTATCTCCACTTCTCCACCGTGTGGTTTAGATTTGAAGATGCAATTTAACCCTAATAATAATCATGGCCATTAGTGGGTAATAAATACTCTTACGTTTTTGTTTAGTAGTGGGTCAATTGATTCTACTATTGACCAGTTTGATCTGGTGTAATTTTGAACTTATTAAATTATAATAAATTTTACTTTTATAATTATCATAACGGTCATGTAGATGTATAGGTGATTTTAGCAAATTGCTTCAAACATCGCTATTATTATTTATGTATATGGTAAAATTACTTTTTTTTGTACTATTATATCCATGTAAGAATTTGAAAAGTAGGAAATAATAACTTCGTTTTCTTTGTTTTTAATTTTCTTCTTAATCTTCCCTATTTTTAATTATAATAATTGAATTTTTTTTGGATATTTATATAAATGTATTCAAATAAAAAAACTTAATAATATATTAAAATAACAGACAAAATAGTTTTTTTTATAAAATAAAGATAAACTTTTTCCTTTTTCTTAAAACTATAATAATTTGTTAAAAATTCTGTTAGTTTTATAAGACATCTTTTTTTTCAGAAGAAAATTGTATCTCATGTAAAAATTAGTGATATTCTAATCAAAATATATATGTAACTAATGGAATTTTTAAACGACTAATCAGAATGTAGAAAATTGCCACATAGATGCTTAGGTGGCTTTATGAGAAGTCTTAAACATAATTTTTAATATATATATATATATAGATATAGATTATAATAATTTATTGATATAATCTATTATCATATCTTTCACTATGTTCTAATTAATAAATTTTTTAAAATATAATTGTGATTAAATAATATTTTTTAATAAAGTTAAAATCAAAATGATTTTATTGTATAATAAAAATGAGTTTTTTAATTATACAAATCTACTGATATTTTTAAAAATAGTTTTTGATATATAAAATAAAAATGTCAATAATACATAAGACAATTATATAATAAAAATGGATGATTTTTAAATTTTAATATTTTATTGATATTTTTTATCATCCTTCTAATCAATTATTTTTAAAACTAATTTTTATATGTAAAAATTAATGCTAATCTAATTGAATATTCATGTTTATAATGAAGTTTTGTATAAACCAATCAAAAATTAGAAAACATCCACCTAGGATGATGAGGTGTCTTCACCACAACCCTTTAAACTTCTTTATTAATATATATAGATTATTAGGGGTAATGGTATAAAAATACCCGAACTTTTACAAAAATCCCAAATAAATACCTGAACTATAAAATTGTCATATAAATACCTGAACTTTTCAAAACTCTCACATAAATATCTAAACTTTAAATTTTTTTTCAAATCAAACAAACGCAACTGCTGACTCAGCAAAAAACTGCTAACTCAGCAAAAAAAAACTGTTGACTCAACAAAAAAACTGATGGCTCAGTATTCAAAAATATTATTAAATATCCATTACATATACATACATATAACAAATACATACAAACATACATATAAAAAAATTTTAAATTAAAAAGAAATATAAAATGATACATACATACACATATACATACAAATAAGTAAAAATAGAAATATATTCATATATATATATATATATATCTATACTAATATTATACATATATATACACATATATAATATTCTAACATGTCGCGTTGTTCATTTTGTTTCTCTTGCTTTAAGAAAGAAATAATAAAATAAAAATTTCACTCTCTCTTCTTCATCTTATATATCCAGCGAAAATTCTAGGCTTTTCTCTTTCTCCGGACTTCGTTTCTTCTATAATAATTTAATTTTTGAGGATCACATTTTGTTTAATTTCCGAAAATAGATATATGTAATGGTATATCTATAGATAGATTTTTTTTGTACCTTGATGTAAAGGCAGTGTCAAATCCACGTGTTGAACATACAAATAAGAATAAATTAATACTGAAATTAAATAATGATAATCAAAATTGAAAGCATCTCTCTCCCTCTCCCTCTCACTCCCAATTGAAAACGTGTACAAAATAATATAAAAAGGTAAAAATACAAAAAATATCAAATCATATCTTATGGTGATTAAATAACAGAATTTGATCTATATTTACCCAATTAAATTTGCTTTCCATAGTCCCTACAAAATTATA